TTTTTTTTTTTTTTTTTTTTTAGTTACTTGAATATTCCTTAGAATTTCATTTTAGTTCTCCTATTGGCTTTTTAGCTATACTTCTCTGCATTTGTATTTTTACAATATGCCCTGGGGATTATAATGTATAATCTACATATTTAACATTGTACTACTTAACATAAAATGTTGAAACCTTGCAATGATATAAATCTGTATCCTCCACTCAAAGCCTTTATACTAAGTATTACATGTATTACCTCATGTTATGTATTGATGTTATATAATGATGTATTCTATCATGCTATATTTACATTACCCCGTAAGACCATATTATGATTATTGCTTTAGTCACATTATTATAAAGAAATTAAGAGGGGGGCACCTGGGTGGCTCACTTGGTTAAGCATCCAACTTTGGTTCAGGTCATGATCTCACCATTCATGAGTTTGAGCCCCGCATTGGGCTCTGTGCTGACAGCTCAGCGCCTAGAGACTGCTTCAGATTCTGTGTCTCCCTCTCCTTCTGCCCCTCTCCTGCTCGCACTCTGTATCTCTCTCTCTCTCTCTCTCTCAAAAGTAACATAAAACATTAAAAGAAAGAGACAGAGAGAAATTAAGAGGAAAAAAGCAAAACACAAAGTCATTTGCATTCACTCAGAGATAAATTTCCTTCAGCATTTCTTATAGTGCTTGTCTGCCAGTGATGAATTCTCTAAGGATGTTTTTATCTAAAAACATCTTTAGTTCACCTTCACTCCTGAAGAATATTTTTGCTGGATATAGAATTTTGTGTAACACTCCTATCTCCTGTGTGTACTCTCCTGAACCACAGTGTGTCTGCTTCCATTCACTGTCCAGTATCTTCAAGTAGCTAGTTTTTTTTCCTATTATTTCCAGCTTTTAAAGTTGTTTTCTTTGCAGGAATCACTTAGGTGGTATGTGACTCTAGCATCATTGAATTCATCATTCTGATTCCACCTTCCATCTGCTTTATTGAGGTATAATTTATGTATAGTAAAATTCACCTCACTTTTAAAGTATACTGAGTTTTGGGGCACCTGGATGGCTCAGTTGGTTAAGCATCCGACTTCAGCTCAGGTCATGATCTCACAGTCACAAAGCTCAAGCCCGGCAACAGGCTCTGTGCTGACAGCTCAGAGCCTGGAGCCTACTTCAGATTGTGTGTCTCCTTCTCTCTCTGCTCCTCCCCTGCTCGCATTCTGTCTCTGTCTCTCAAAAATGAATAAATGTTAAAAAAAAAATTTAAAGTATACTGAGTTTTAAATAAACTGGCCTGAACGTAAATATACCCACACAGTATTTTCAATGTGGTTCTGAAAAAGTCAAACATTATTCAAAGTTTTAAGTTTATCCAAGAAAAGAAATACCAGGGGCACCCGGGTGGCTCAGCTGGTTGAGCAGCCGACTCTTGACTTTGGTTCAGTTCATGGTCTCATGGTTCATGGGATCCGGGCCCCACAAGTGGGCTCTGTGCTGACACTGTGGAGCCTGCTTGGGATTCTCCCTCCCTTCCTCTCTGCCCTTCCCACATGTGCACACACACTAGTATCTCTCTCAAAATAAATAAACACTCAAAAACAAATACCAATCTTGATGGCTATGTGGGCTTTAAAAAGCCTTATGTATACTCTTTGCACAGTATATTCCTAAAAGGCCTCATCATACTGTTAGTATGATCCTAAACTGTATGTTATAATAAATAACCAGAGTACAACAAATCAGGAAGAGATACAACTAACCTTTTTTGGGGCTTTTTTCCTTGGTGTGGTATTTTTAGCAGAATTTCCCTTCTTGGGGGCTGAAGTATGGAGAGGTGGTTTAATCCGACTTGATTTCCTGATCTGCTGCGTTGGTAATATTATAGCAGTTTTCTGTGGAGACGGCATTGAATGTGGGGCCGCTTTGGGAAGAGAAGACTGTGTTTTTGCTATACTCTTTGTAATGGGCACTGAGGGGGGAAAAGCACAGCACAAAAATAAAATTAACACACACACACAAACTATATATAGTCCTAAAACCGTGTGTTCATAGTAGCCACAAAGTGAACAAAAACCTTTTTGAAAAAAGTGTGTACAATATAGAAAGGTATACTAACCATCTTTAATAAAATTTTTATATGAATACCTAACCAAATGTACTGGTTCTTCAGCTTATCTTCAGATATAACAGAGAACTTCAGGTAAGAAAAATGTCCAGGAGATGAGAAGTTAGTGAATTGTGGAAATGCAGAAAAAATTAGTAAATTTTGGGAAACCATCAGAGGAAGTAAATAAAGTCAAGAGGAGGCCTGGAAGCCTGGAACAAGGGGAACAGAAGAAAGGAGAGAGATGCCAATATTTACTGGCTACCCATTACAGGTAGGCACTTCAATATGCATTATCCCATTTAATCCACCCAAAATTCCTGAGGTTGGTACCATTTCCCCACTTTATACATGAGGAAACTTCGGCTCTGCGAGGTGAGGTAACTCAGCCAAGATCACCCATTTGGCTAAGAGAGTTTGGTCTCCTAAGTGCATGCTTTTTCTAATATGCTACCTTGCTTTCTGCCCTCAAACAAAAAAAGGCTATTAAATTCACTCCCCTGAGTCAAAGTGCACAAGTTTTAAAAAAAGGGAATCGTGGGGGGCAAAAGACAACTTTGTGAATTCCTACGTGCTATTTTACTAGAGAGTCAGGAGGTGCTCTCTAAGAAGGAGTCTTAGGTTTTTAAAAAAAAAAAAAAACAGGTGTGGAGGCATACTTACAAAGAGAAAACATTAACAAGTAAGTACAGACAAAAACACACTGGTAAAACTTTTCATGCCTGGGAATTTAACCTTGTTTAATATTTATTTCCAAATAGTACTCATTAAATATACATTTCTGCTGACCCATGAAGACACTTTATTATTGAAAGATAGTGCTTGCCTTCTCTGAATTGTGAAGACAGCTGCACACATAATTACCACAGAAGAAGAAATACACTTAGAAATGAACAGCAACCCCCTATTTCCAGCTACTGTTCCACATGTGCTGGTTTAGCTTACACATGGCTGACTGGAACAGAAACTAAAATGGATTGGAGATTTGAATTAATATGTATCTTGCTTTTGATCTAAAAAGACTTAAGAGGTATGGTTGCTTAGTGTTCTCCAGATTTTCCATCCACCATTTATTTACTCAATACTTAGTGTATACTTTTTACCAGTCTAGGCAATTTAGGAGATTCAGAAGAAATAGATATGGCCCCAGTCATACAGTTTGTGTATCCTGTGAGTGTAGTTGTGTATCCATAAAATTCGTATCTCCTTAAGTAGATCAATGATACATGATTTCCTTCTCCTCAAATAAACTGAATAGTGTATTACACAGCCATATGACAAGAAGAGCAGAAATTACTGTAAAAACAGATACCTTGAATTTGAGGCAAGTAATAAACAAAGTCAAATTATGAACAGCCAAAAACAGAAAAGCAAGATATGGTCTGGAAAAACCAAAACTAAGTCAAAAAGAAAACATCTGTCATTGGAAACATTTGACTTTGGAACCTTTTTCAGATTTAGCAATTCTTTCCAAGTCATCTTCCTTATTCTTAAAACTGCAGGTACAACTAAACTATCATTTATACTAAAATCTTTCAAGGGGTGCCCAGGGGGCTCAGTTAGTTGAGCGTCCAACTTCGGCTCACGTCATGATCTTCCATGAGTTCGAGCCCTTCATCGAGCTCGCTGCTGTCAGCATAGAGTCCGCTTCAGATCTGTCCCCCCCACCCTCTCTGTCCCTCCTCCACTCACGTGCTCTCTCAAAAATAAATAAAACA